CCCAGCCCCGGCAGCCGGGCACAGCTCTCCCCTGCCCCGCACAGGCCCTCCTACGCAAGTCCCGGGGGGCAGCGGGATGGGGGAGGGCCAGCCTCACCCCCCCTCCCCCCGGCCCCCCCCGAGGCCATCCCCACACACAAGTGATCCGTACCGTTTTATTCTGGAGTCTTACAGAATCGGGAGGGAAGAGGGGGTCAGACCTTCACCGGGAAAGGGGGGAGGTGTCAGATCCAGACATTAAATTACCGGGGATTAAATTAGCAAGAAAAACAAACTGTTTTGTCTCAGGAGAAAGTGCCCAAGTGCTGCGAGTGGCCGGGGCTGGAAGCAACACTCTGCTGGAGCCGGACAGAGCTCCGCACGTGGGACGCCGGCTGGGCTGAGGAGCTGGGCTCAAACAATTAAGAGAGGGGCACACTGGAAATCCGAAGGGGTGAAAGATGACCAAAGCCCAAACAGAGAGCTCTGGGGTGCCATGGAGAGCAAACAGAGGACTCTGGGACACACTGGGGATAAATGCACAGGTCATAAGTGTCTTAAGATCCATTAAGGCTTACAGATATTAGAAGACCCAGAATGACTTATGGTTACTCCTCAATAGGTGATATGAAAATATAACTAAAGTAGGAGTTAGGCTTAGGGTAAAACTTAGGGCTAAGGGTACTGTAACCCAAAACCCACCACAGAACTTCCTAGACATCTTTTACCCTACTTATATCAGCCATCATCCTAGCCTATGCCCAGTTCCCTAAAGGTGGCAATTGGTGGATTGTGTTAGGTAGGCAACAGGAGTGAGATCTGGATTTATTGTTGGCTTCTGCAAAGCAAGGTGAAAGTATGCGTCACCAGCTAGTTTTGAGGCCAGCAGGGATCATTTGTCCACAGTTAAAAGTAAAGTTATGGTAGGAGTTAAGACTCAAGAAAACAGAAGATAAAGACTAAGAAGATGGGAGGACTAAGGAAACGGGACACCTGGTCACCCGGGATGTGAAGAAGGCTGAGATATTCAACGACTTTTTTGGTTCAGTCTTCACTGTTAAGGGCTCTAACCACACCAGGCCCCCCCTGGCTGCAGCAGGGCCCAGGCCGCGTCCCCCGCGAGCACGCGGCCAGAGGTCAGAATTCAGGTCCATGGTGCCCCCGGCCAGAGCACGTGGGGGCGGCGGGGGCGGCTCACTGCTCCTCCAGCCAGGAGGGCTTCTCAGCACCGGGGGTCTTCAGCTTGATGTTGAACTGCTTGAGGGTCTGCTCCAACTGCTGCTGGTTCCCAGCGAAGTAGGCAGAGATGGCGTTGTGGAAGAGCAGTAGCTGCTTGTGCATCACCTTGATCTGGGAAGAGCAGGAGTGGTCACAGCCCGCAGCGAGCCGGCCCCGCCACCCACGCCCAGGGAAGGGGCAGGGAGCAGGGACGCAGCACAGGAGGGGGATGTCAGGGCTGCTGCCAGCATCTCCCAAAAGCTAGCCCAGAAAGCCGGGAGAAGGTGGACAGAGATGGGCATCCCCTGCCCATCCCCACTGGTCTCACAGCTGCTGCCCACCCAAACACAGACCCGCCACCCACGCCCAGGGAAGGGGCAGGGAGCAGGGACGCAGCACAGGAGGGGGATGTCAGGGCTGCTGCCAGCATCTCCCAAAAGCTAGCCCAGAAAGCCGGGAGAAGGTGGACAGAGATGGGCATCCCCTGCCCATCCCCACTGGTCTCACAGCTGCTGCCCACCCAAACACAGACCTTGGGCAGGCGGCCTCATGGCAGCACGGCCGAGGGACATGAGTACACGGCAGACCCCGGCTCTACGCCCCGCAGCCCCTTCCCAGCCCCACGGCCCTCCCCACCTTGTTCTCCTCCAAGAACTTCAGCTTGATGGCCACATCAGCACGCAGCTTTTCGTACTTGTCCTTGTGGCTCTGGAACTGGCTCTGCGCTGCGTCCAGCCGGCACAGGGTGCTGGCGTCCCGAGGGCCCATGCTCAGCTCCTCCAGGTCCGTGCGGTACGCATCGTACTCCAGCCTGCACAGGGACAGCGCTGTCAGAGCGACGCTGCAGCCCCGCAGCTCCCCCCAGGGAAGCCTGGCACCCATGTGGAACCCATCCCTGGCCGGTGGGCCACGCCGCCCTTCTACCTGGCTGTCTCATACTGCTTGACCGTCATGAGCGTGTCCTCCATGGTCTTGTTCACCAGTGTGTTGATGCTGGAGACGAAGAAGTTGACAGCCCCCAGTAGTGTTTCTCCGTTCTTGCAGAGCAGTTTCTGCGTTTCCGCGTTGTAACCAAACTCCTCCTGGGGAAGGAGGACGTGTCAGGGTCCACACCAGCAAGGCCCCTCTCTCCTCCCACGTGCTCAGAACCAAGCTGGCCATGGGGGTCCCAAGGAGGTGCTGGGACACGGCCCTTCACACTCTCCCCTAGCCCGCCACCTTCACCGAGCACCGTTATCCCCAACCTCCTCCTGCTTCTCATGCAGCCGGGGTGCTGCGAAGCAGAGTGCTGCCCCTGGCTGTGCTGCAGAGCCCGAGGCTGATTTGGGTCTCCAGCTCTCCTCCCCAGGCCCAGGGGGCTGCAGCACAGGCAGAGGCCAGGCATGCGCCGCTCCCCAGCAGGCATACCTGCAGCTCAGGAGATTTCTGGCTGAGGTCCGCAAAGGCATCCCCCAGGGCGTGCTGCGTCTGCACCAGGCTGTAGAAGTGGTTGGTGAGAGCCAGCTCGAGCTGCAGCACACACTCGTACTTGCGCTTTGTCTCCCGGAGCAGCTCAATCTGCGTCTCCAGCTCCAGGTCCACGGTGCGGGAGCCCCGGCCAAACCGCTCCGAGATCAGCTGCTTGGTACACTGCAGGGTGAGGGAGACGGCGTCAGGGGCCCCGGGTCCCCGGCTGACGGGGAGGAAGCGCTCCTTGCTGCCGCGGACAGCGGGGAGCTGCAGAGCTGCCCCCATGAATTCTGCGGGGAGATCCCTGGACGTGTCCTCCACCTCCCGCTGCTCCTTCACCCCTGGTGCAGGCGCTGGCCCAACCCTCAGCCTGCTGCACGGCCCCGGCAGCGAGCCGGGCCATCCCCACAGCCCCAGGAAGCAGCTCACCTTGTACGTGTTGATACCCCATTTCTTGACGATGTCAAACTTCTCCACGGCGATGCCACGGACAACCTCCTCTCCTCCAACGGCCGGGCTGGGGTGGGGCTGGTGCAGCCCGGAGCCTGCAACAGACACAGCCCCACAGGCACAGCAGTGCAGCAGCACCCGCAGAGGGCACAGGCCAGGCGGCTCCCCCAAAAGCAACGGTGCCTGTGCAGCAGGGCACTGCAGCTGCGCCTGGAGGGCTCAGGGCACTGCCAGGAGCACAGGACTCCTACAGGGCTGCATCGGCGCTTGACAAAGCCCACGCACAACAGACGCGCAGTCTGGGCAGCACCCACCCCTGCCCGGCTCT